TTCTTCCCTTATACATAACATATGAAATATTCTTTGACTCTCCGGGATTGACGGAGATGCGCCTATATATTCTTAGGCTCGTGCGCGTAACAGGATTCTGATATTATATTCTTGTCAGATTGAGAGTCGCGGAGTGGGCGCTTTGTTTTGGATAGATGTAGTGTGAGACTCATATTGAGTTAGTGGTTGTGAGTTCAGCAGAGGACTGACGGACGTACAAAAAGGGGACAGGAGAGGGCTCTGCGAGTCCCCAAGTCAGAGACCCCGGGACGGCGCGCCCGCGCCGAGAGATGGAGGGTGTGTGAGACCGACCGTCCAGGAGGCCGGAGAGGCTGCGGCTAGAGACGCACGTGAAAGGCCCCGCGGACACCGCGAACGAGGCGGAAGGTCCGGGAGACAGACGTGCCCGAGACCGCGAGAGGCGGTGCGATGTGTCCGAGGGGAAGCCGGGGACCGAGGCTGAGCGCTGGGGAGGCGCAGGCGGGATGCAGCGACCGGAGCGCACAATGCGCCGGAGGAGCCGGACCTGGGCGTCTGGGGCGTCGGTGAGGGGCAGGGGGCTGGGCCGGGGGTGCGGAAGCGCAGGGCGGGCTCAGCGCCCTGCCCGTCGGCTCTGCGCCTCCAGGAGGACAGCCCTGCGCCCACCCGCCTGGAGCCCAGAAAGCGAGCCCAGCGCCGGGGAGACGGGGAGGACTCCGTGAGCGCCCCAGGCTCACTCGGGAGGGCGGCCGGGACGCCAGCAGGTGGGAGCGGGGAGCCCTCTCTCTCCAGAAACAGGCACACGTGTGGGTTTTGTCCACAGTCAGGAGACACGGGACCCAGGTCACAGGCCTGCCCCTGCCCCACGAAGTCTCTCAGAGCCCCTCCCCCAATTCTCCAGAGCCTGCTCCCGCCCCCCAGGCCAGCCCCTGAGGGAATGGGTGTGGAACCCCAGAAAGGAGCGCCCTGTAGCCCCGCCCTGGCCACAATAACCCGCTTTGTGCGGCGGGAAAACCAGCCCGGGGGCCGGAGTCTCAGCAGACGCACACCCCTGCTCAGTCTTGGGGTCTCAGTCCCCGGGCGAGTTCCGGAGCCCCCTGACACCCCTTCCCTCTCCAAACCCCGAAATCAGTCCAAACGGAGGTGTCTGGGGGCTCGGCTCGGCTCGGAGATGGTTTACGCAACAACTAAATCCCTTGCCAATTACTTTTTTAAAGAAGCACCCATTCTATTCTCCCCGAAACTGAAGCGAAAGCTTGGAAGCGCGAATTTGGGGTCCCTAAGGGACAGGAATGAGGACCGGCAGGGGCCCCGCTGCGAGCGGGCCGGCCTGCGAGGGCCACGGCCCCGCGCGGAGCGCGCCGCCTCCGCCCATATGGCGGCGGGGCCGGCGGTAATTGGGACAAACGCCGTCTGAAAGGGGCACAAAAGCCGCAGCTGGGGCTTTGTCCGCGCTCCCACGGGGAGCCGCCGGCCGCCGCCCGGCTCCTTTCTCGCCCGCTGCCGGTCGCCGCCGCCCGGATCTCCCAGCGCGGATTAGGCGGGCTGCCTCGCTGGGGCTCGGGGGTCCGGCACCCCCATTCCGGGGAAGAGGGGCCCGGGTGTCCAGGCCGCACTCCAGCCAGCAGACGAGTTAAAGGAGGCGGCAGGGTGGGGTGCACTGTCCTGGGGAACCCTCGGTTAATTACCAGGCAGGGAACATTCCGGACTGGGACCGCCCCACCAGCTCCTAGCCCGCCGAGATTTTGTGCGGAAGGAGGCAAAATTCGGTGGAGAGGTCCCCCATACAGGCTGTCCTGGGCGTCTGCAGCCCCCCCCCCCCAACCTGGGCCCTGCCATCGCAGAGTCTCTCCCCCAAAAGCACAGCCACGAATTTTGTCCACAATTTCTGGGGACCCTGGCCAGATGGGAAGATCTAACCTCCCAGGCCCGAGGATGTACCAAAAAGGTGTCCTCCTTCCGGGGTCTGCCCGTGGCTGGGCTCCTGGCCCTCACCCTCTATTGCCACCAAACCCACTTTTCTAAGAGAAGTCGCCTCTCCCCAAACTGAGCTACTAGCCCCCCAACCCCCGCAGGCCTGTGATACTGGGCCACTCAGAGTGGACCCATCAGGCATAGGCACTCCTGGGGGCTCCCCAAATTCAGAGACTCCAGAACAGCGGCGGGGGAGGGGGGGGAGTTTGGGAAGTGGAGGATGGTGAGCAAGTGCTGAAATGCCCGGAGTCTCCCAAAGCGTGGGCAGGGAGCTGGGATGGGTCTCCCAGGAGCAAGTACAAGGAATGGAGGAGAGAAAGAAAGGAATGGAGGAGAGAAAGAGGGAAGGAGGAGGAGGAGGGGTGACCAAGAGGAAAGTTCACCCAGCACTGAGCCTGGTAACAGCCACGGGACTGCTCTTTGCAAACTCCCGCTACTCGCCCCCAAAACTGAGAGCTGAGACCTGGGTTGGCCCAGTCCTTGAGTCCCCAGCTGCCACTAAACGCAGGTGTGCTGGGGGCTGGAGAGTGGGCCTGAGTCCTGCCCGGAGCAACTGCCTGCATCCGGGCGACCAGTGCCAGACGCTGTGTGCACAGACAGACCCTCGGCCACAGAACCCCAGTGAGTACATTGGAAGCTGGAGAGCAGGCTGCGGGATGAATCCTGATCCCTCCATCCCCACCGCCAGCGCACTGCCCTCCTGTGCCCGAGTTCCTGCTGCTGCCAAGTACCCCAGGCCCGGGCCAGGGCAGGAGGAGGCTGTGTGTCCGGTGGGGCAGGGTGCATGTGGATTTGTGAGCGTCCAGCTTGGTCTGATGGTGGAAGTGTGTGAGCCAGGGGACTCTCCAGGTGTGCCTGTCAGTTCGTGTGTCTGGGGTGGAGTATCCTGTGTGCAGTCATGTGTCCCCGAGGTCTCTGAACTCCAATGTGTGTGCGGGGGAGTGTGTCCTGTGCGGTGTGTGGCGAGCTGGTCTGGTGTGTCGATCTGTGCGTACTGCTGGACGGGCGAGTGAACCGTGTGCCTGATTTTGCATCCAGGAAGTGTCTGTGGGTGAGTGTGTATGTATTGATGTGTGTCTGTAAAGTGTGTCCCTTATTGTCCTGCGCGATAGAAAGGGGGGCGGTGAGGGAGGGGAGACCTTGGTGCAGCCAAGAGCTGGAGTATCGGCCCTGAGCTCAGCCTCTTACCTCCATAGTAGGTGTATGGCGTGGACCCCAACATTTCAGACTCGTCCAAGCGGCCCCCCAGGGGACGCATGCGCCTCGGACTCCGAAAGAAGGCGTGTCTCCGGGCGCCCAGTGCGCTTAGCTGTTTCATCCTGCGTTCTTTGGACCGCCGGTTCTGGAACCACACCTGGGACAGAGGAGGGGGCAGTGAGCTCGGTGGCGGGCATCCTCTCCCAGCCCCGGCCGCCCCTGCGGGGTCCTAGCGCCTCCTGCCTCCAAGACTACCCTGAGGCGAGGGGGCGGGGGGCGCGGATTAGGCTGGAGGGGTGGAGAGGGGCCTCGGTGAACCAGCCAAGGGTGAAGGATTTGGCGGACCCTTGGGGCGACTCATAAAGACTCGGGCTTCCCGTCCTCGCCCGCCCGCGGCCTGACGGCTTCATAAAGGCCTCCCGCCCGCCCGGCCTGGCTCTGGTCTGGGCCCCTCGGCTTCCCAGCCGGACTCTGGCCGTCGGTCTGTCTGCCCACCCGGCCTTGGCGCAGGGAGGAGGCCCGGGAGGAAGGTCGCCTCCTCCTCTGCTCCATGGACGGGCAGGGGCGGGGCCCAGAAGGGAGGTGACCAGGGACTTGGGCTGCGGGTTTGACCCGGGGGCTCGGCCCGGAGCGCACCGCGGGCCGCGGGACCGGAACTCGGCGCGGAGCGGGCGCGAGGCTCCTCCGAGCCTCCCAGCTCCAGGGCTGGGCTGGGGGAGGTGGGAGGTGACCCGGCCAGGCCGCATCTGGATGACACGCATGTTGAGGCCGGTCTTCTGCGCCAGCTGCTCCCGGATGTGGCGCGTGGGCTTGGGCGTGGCGGCGAAGGCGGCCTTTGAGCGTCTCCAGCTGCTTGGCTTTGATGGTGGTGCGCGGGCCGCGCCGCTTGGTGCCCGAGTTCTGCTCCTCGTTCTCGTTGTTGGCCGTCTCCTTGTCCGACGACGTCGAGTTGTCCGTCTCCTTGGGGTCGTCCTGGAGCGGGTCCTGGAGGTCCGGGGATAAACTGCGGTCCGTACAGGATGACACTGCGGCGGAGGGAGTGCGAAGGGGACAGCAGCGTCAGCGGCGGCCCGAGGCCGCCACAATCGGGAGCCGGTTCTAGCCGGCCGAGGCCGCCGCCAGCCCCGCGGGTTCGCTCCCAAACCCCGCGACAGCCCCTCCCCCAGGCCCGGGCCCGCCCACTCCGTCCAGGTGGGGCTGGGCCTTCGGAGGGCCCCTCTCCAGCCTTCTCAGCACTTTTCGCCTATTGCTGGGCGAGGGGGACGCCTATTGCTGGGCCAGGGGGATGCGCGCCCTCTGGAGAGGGGCCTGGAGGAGGGTCCAGGTGCGCTGGGGCCCTCAGATCTCAGCTCCCCGCTCCCTCCTCTTCTTCCGATTAGAGTCCTCCCAGCGCAGGGAGAAATGACCCGGAGCTCAAAGGAAGCGGAAGGGAATCGCGCAGTTCCAAATGGGGAAGGCGGCGCCTGGGAAAAGGCTCCCGAATTGGAGGGCAGGGGAAGGGCTGGTCTGGTGTCCAGTCGGCCTGGCTCCCACGCTGTGCCCTTCCCGGCGCCCGGCCCGGCTCGCCCTAGAGCTGCCCGCTGGGTGACCGGGAGCCGAGAGCTCCGTGCGGGCCGGGCAGCACCAGGGAGCCGTGCAGAGAGCGCGGGGCCCGGCTGGCGGAGGAGCGAGGCTCCTACCTGAGTTGAGGCTGCCCTCCTTGAGGCTGGACGAGCTCAGGTAGTCGTCCTTGCACACGAACTTGTTCTCGTCGATGACGTAGAGCTCCTCGCCCGTGGACAGCTGCTTGTTGCACACCATGCAGGTGAAGCAGTTGAGGTGGAAGACTTTGCTGCGGGCCTTGCGCACCAGGTCGCTGGGCGAGATGCCTTGCGCGCAGCCCGCACACTTAGTGCCAAAGCGCCTGCCGACATAGCACAGCCCGTCACCGGGCAGCCTGATGGCCCGTCCTCGCCAGCCCCCGACCTCTTCCCACCCTCCCCGGCTTCTGAGAAGCCTCCACTCCTTCTCTGTCCAATGAGACCCACTGCTGTGCTCCCTGGCTGCGCACAAGAAGGAGACCAATGTCCCCGGCTGTTCTTGGGGCTGGGACCGCCATGTCTCGTTCAGGTTTGTTTGGACTCCACTGGGCTTAGAGCAATGGGCACAGCCTTCAGCCAAGCAGAGGGCCTAGAGCACCCCAAGGTGCTCCCTGTACCCCCACATCCATCTGGGATGCTCAAGGTGAACTCGCCTCTCCAGGCTAGGAAGGCTTTTGAGCCAGGCAGGCAGGGTTTGGACCCTTTCTTGGCTTTGCCTCCTGGATCCTTTGGCCTGGTTGGCGGGATCCAGCCATTGGCGGGGAGCCCTTCTCCTGAGCAGGACCCAGGCAGAGAGGAGGGAGCCTTCTGCCCATCCCAGCACTGCCAGCGCCTGGGGCTTCCCAGTCCCACTGTGGGATGCAGCGCAGCTAGTCAGGAGCCTGAGGGGACCAGTGGACCCCAAGAAGCAGGGACTGAATCTCCATCCCCCCAAAATCTCTGACCTGGCAGGCAGCGGGGAAATGAGGCAATCCAACACCTGCCTGGCCAGCACTCGGAATGCTCACCCCCCCCCGCCCCCCAGTGCCCGAATTCCTGGTCTAAATCCTTTTCTTGAGCCCGGGGAGAAGGCCAGCCTCCTCCGAGTGGGAGAGGTGCGGGTTGGGGAGGGAGCGGGCCGGGACTTTGGGCCCCACATCTGCTCACGCCCAGGCCTCTAAACGGCGAATTTGGGTGACGTTGATGTAGTGAGGGCATTAGAAGCCATAAGTCACTTTTGGCCTTATCCGGCCGCGTAATTGGCCATATGTACCTTATCAAAAATCATTAGGCGCTTTGCAAGCCTCGCCACATTAGGGCCTGGGTTCTCCAGGCCGGGAGTTTACACGTGTAAAGGCGAGGCTGACATTTTCTCCTATTCAGATTCCCCAGGCCGAGCAGCTGGGGCTGGGGGCTGGGGGCAGGCTTGCTCCTCCGTGTTAATCACGCCCCCTTGCCCGGCGCCGGAATTCGCACTCACAAAGCCGCTCTCCAGGGCGGGTGGAAGCAGGCAGGGCTGAGCTGCTGCAAACCCCACAGCCTTCCAGGCCACCCCTGAGCAGTTCCCAGCTGGGGAAACTGAGGCCCAGAGCAGTGGTCATCCCCAGCCCACCTGAGGGCCCCGGTGGGCAGCAAGGGGAGGTGACAGGGCCCGGGACTAGACCCTGGAGGTCCTGATTCTCAGCTTGGATTTCCTTGGTACTTTTCAACATGGGAGAAAATATTCACGGAGTTGGGGTCAGGGGATGAGAAGGTAGAGGGTCCCTCCCCCAAACATCGGAGGAAACCCTCCTGGTCGAGCCCCTGGGCGCCGGGAAGCTGCTGTTTGTCCAGCAGGGCCCTGGGGCCGCCTGCCCGCCAGGAGGACCGCCTCTTGGCAAATGCAGTCTGTCTGGTGGGAGAAGCCTCCAGCCACCCCTAACTTTGCAAAAATCCTTCCTCTCTCAGACTCGGGCCTGACGCTTCCACCCTGGAATTGCAGCCGCTGGAAGCGGTAGGGTCGGGTGGGGAGTAAGTTGGTCAGAGCTTCCTCCCCCAGGGAACCTCTGGTCCCAGCCCCGCCGGGAGGAGCAACCGTGAGGCACCTTCCGTTTTGCTCCGCCGGGGCTGCGGCCCTTTCCTTGACCAAGGACAGGGGGGAGCAGTGGCCGGCCCCTTCTAGGCTGCCGAGCCGGGGAGGCTGTTTCCCCTTCCCCGGCGTCCGCGGGGCGCGCAGGCCGGGCGCGCAGGCTGCGGGCCTCTTACCTGAAGAAGTCATTTTTGCAGTAGAGCTTGCCCTCGCGCGAGAAGCACTTCTCGGAGAGGTTGGTCTTGCACTCGCAGCACTGGACGCATTTGATGTGCCACGCGCGGTCCAGCACGTTCAGCAGAAAGCGGTCGAGGATGGGCCGCTCGCAGCCGGCACAGTGCACCATCATAGCCCCGCGCCCGGGCGGCTCGGGCCGCCTTGCCCTCCCTCTGGGCCCCCGGCCCCCGGCCCTCGGGCCCCCCGGCCCCGCAGCTGCGCTCCGCCTCTCCTCTCGGCCGCTGCCGGGCGAGTCCGGTCCGGACCAAGACTCAGCCGGTCAAGTCCTTGGGTGATCGCTGGCCTGGCGCTGGGCCGCCCGGGGCGGGGTGGGGAGCGGTGGCGTTCACAGCCTCATGCCCGGGGCCGCGCGCCCCAGCGCCGGTTCCGCGCTCCCCCAGGTGTCTCGGTGGCTGCTGGCCTCGGCGCTGCCGAGCGGCTTTCCCCGGTGGCGGAGGCGCCGGCACTTTCCCCCACTTTCAAGCGGTCCCGATCCTCATCTTTGTCTGGCCGCCGCCTAATTCGCGCATCCTTATTCAGATTTGGTGACGTGGCGCGGCACGTAGGGGGCCCGCCGGCCAATGGGTGCGCGGTGGCCATGGCAACCTCTTAAATTTATAGCATATCTAAATTGGCTACAGCGTTGCGGTCCGGACAGAGCAAAAAAACAAGGCATCAGTATTGTTGAGTATTAGCTTGTACCTGGTTCGGAGGCGAAGTAAGTATTTACCTTACAGTTGGGGGCTGAGGGCGGGGGGAGGGCGGGCGCGATCTGAAACTGCCTCTCTCTTCCTCTCTCCTCACAAATATTTGGGGGGGGGGGTTGCCGGGATTCCTGGGCCTAGTGGGGGAAGGGACCTCTGCCCCTTCGCCACCCCTGGAACTTGCAGAAGTTGCCCGGGGTTGGAGCACACGCTAATCCGCCTTCTCTTTCCCAGCCCAGCCGCCCAGATTGGAATCCCTCTCCCGGGCGCTTCCCCGGGGTCTGCGCCTTGGAGCTGCTACAGCGCAGCTCACCGGGCTCCCAGCGCCCGGCCGGCTTCTTTTGTCATACAAGGGGCTAAGG